GCGGTGGAAGAGAGCTACGAGCTACGAGCTACGGCTAGGCGGCCGGCTGGCCAGGTAGCTCCGTGGCGTGCGTGCGCTGAGTGAGAATGGAGAGGTGTCTTGTGTCGTGCACGCCTTTATATAAAGGCGTACGTGGCTGCTAATGTGCTCGCACATATCCGTCCCCGGGAAAAACGTCGCTGGAAATGGGAGGCATCCGCTCCACTACGGGATGATTAGGATGTGACGGCGTCCACTGCTGTCAGATCGAAATGGCATCAGGGCGCCGCTTTAGATATCTTGATTGAATGCCTTGCAAGATCGGAACGATCTTGCCGTAGTTGAAATTCGCTGTTGGAACTAAAGTGGACTAGGCCTATATAGCATGCATGCGCATTGAGATCGAAACGATCTTACCGTAGTGGAAATTCGCTGATCATATGATCTGCGATCGTGATCACACCTATGTAACTTGTGGTGGATTTGTTGTTATTTGATGAATACTTCATTATGGTGCTGTTGTCTTGGTTACATGAATTGTTTATAGGTGGATGTTGCTCTCTCTTTTATTAGTTGTCAATTTAAATGAACAAAAAAAATGAGAGGTGTTTAAATGAACAAATAGTAAAGGAAGTGATGTGTAATTGATGAAGTAGGCCCATAGCTAAAAGTAAGTATCAATTAGGGAAATGGGCTTCTTTCCTTTTGGGCCTCGATCTTTACTTTGTCTTTCTTTTTCCTCTTCTTTGAATTGCTGACCACCTAAAGAAAAATTGAACTGTTGACTTTTCCTCAAAAGAAATTGAACGAACAGCTTGGGTTTGTTGACTTAATGTGATCCCGTGGACCTCATATTATTAAATGCTCATTCCCCAGCATGGGATTTAATTATTATTTTGAATTTCTACTAAAAATATTACTTGAATTTGCGCAAATTGTCCTAGAGAATTTCCATCGATCTCTTCCATGTTGCATCTGTGAGATGCTTTGTGGATGGGTGCAGGCTCCTTATTTTCTCAACAACCTATTTTTATTTGCGTGGTCTACTTAATTGAAGGATTAGCTGAACTATGGAGGTGATAATTCTTGGGCAAGAGAAGATTACATCCTTTGTAGAAAAGAACGGAGAGTATATTGTGATTTCCCAGTTGCCGGTCGTAAAATTATTTTGATTAATAAACATCAATGTTATTTCCATTTTACGAGAATGATATATCTTATGCTTAATTAGGTATAAAGTTGTATCTAAGGATCAATCTTTAGATCATTATATTGCTTGCACATATAGTGGTTCCGGCACTTGGTCTGATTTAGCTACTTGCGCCAAGGGCGCAACAGGTCATCTAGTTATTCAAAACCCTATGGTAGTACTATGACAGAGCATCTGGTCCCCTTAACATCCTTGTGCAACCTTGATGTTGCTTCTGTTTCCGGTCCTAATCCACCTACCATCCCACTAGTCGACGGGTTACTCTTGCATGCACGTGGCTTTAAAGTTTTGACCCGCTCCCTATTAGCAGCAATAATATCCACCCACATGAAATTAGTTTCCAAGTCATAGGGGCTCCGCACCAACCTCTATCTCTATAAGTTTCCTCTGCTCCCATTCATCCATCCATTGACCCCCATACACAGCCACACATAAGAACGCAACGATGGGCATCAACCTGCTAGGCTTCTTCGTGATGGCAATGCTCGCCATGGTGGTCGTCAAAAAGATTGTCAAGTGCATCAGTCTGGCTCATTCGTGGACAACTGGCCCAGGTCGGCGATGACCTCAACCATCGCAACCTGATGGGTATGGCCAACCGTTTCGGCGAGGTGTTCCTCCTCCGCATGGGTGTCCGCAACCTAGTTCAATAAATA